ACGGGTACAACAGAGTATTAAGGATTTGCACCGTCAAAAAGTACACATTGAGGATCTTTTCCTCCACACAATGAATGAATTTTCTTGAACATGTATGAACATAGAAATATGGTAAGTATGGGAACATACAATCTATATACTCGACAGATGGCATGCATAAAATAGACACCCCATGTGAAAGTGTGAACTATCAAACTAGAAATAAAATATGACTCTGACCCTTATCGACAAGATAACGTAAAAGGCGAGCGCTGAGCCTTACAAACTCAGCGATAGGATAAGAACGCGGAGTCTTACACACTCAGTGATAAGATAAGAATATTTAATAGCCCAATGCTAAACCTTACACACTAGATTTAAGGGTTGAAAAATATGCTGAGTTGGGGTATATAAGCCCAGGCTCAGAACAATACTCAAAACCATTATAGTCAAGAGTATTCGTTCAATAAGTTAGTTAAATTTTCGATTTTGTAGTTATAAGATGTTGAAGTCGTTGAAATATAATTGTTAGTAAGTTAAATATTACGCTTGTAATTTGAAGTCGTTGAATTATAATTGTTAGTAAGTTAAATATTACGCTGGTAATTTATAAGTGTCGTAGCAAGTAGCTTTTGTAAATTAAGTAACCAGTACCTTTCCCCCCTTTTCCACGAACACCGCATGTACCGTAGCAACTTACAAATGTCTTGTAAGTTCTGGCTTTGTTGAGACGGACTTCTTACCCCAACCATAGAAAAGTAACCATACAAAAAAAAAATCAAAATGCGCACGCGCCAGGTACAGCTTAAAATAAAACGGGTAAAGTGTGGAAGAATCAGTTATGTGTATATTAAGCGTTGTTTTTATTATTAAATATATTTGTATTCGAAAAAACCAAGTTTTTGATAGTTGTATTTAAGTACGGACGACTAACCCATTCAGTATCAACAGCTTTTATATTTTCTAATGTTCCAAGCTTAATCTGATACAGCTTTAATTGAAATCTGGGTCCAACTTCCGTTAATTCAATTTCTTTATTTACATATTTATATTGATGATGTCTAAATGATATTTTATCTTCATTGTTAATAAATGAGATAATTCTTTCAGATTTGTCGTTTGGTACCGGGAACAAATGTTTTAAAATTTTCACAGTTCTCAAACCAATATTGCTTTTAAAATTACTGAAAATTAAATGCGGCTTCTGTTCACTCATAGGTCCAATGTTAGGGATATCATGACGCATTATAACGTCGGTTATATTAAAAAAAGCTGTTGGCCCGAATGGCAAATGACATATCACAAGACTGTCGGGAATGCCCCGATGCTCATGCACTATTATAAAGTCTGTAACATTATTAGCTCGACAGGCATGCATTAATGTGTTTAGTTGATATTTTCCTCTGTTCATTTGTTGGGCATTAGGAAATATCAGTCTAAGTTCTTTCATAAACATTTTTAGACGTGAAGACGGCTCATGGGAAGTAGTCAACATAATCTTTGGATCTTGACAACCAGCATATTTGTATTCATCAATAGTAGATAAGTTTCCATTTTCCACATCTAAAAAACGAAAAGAATTATATAAAAAAATTTAATTAAAAAACAAGTAAGAAAGCTCTAGTCGAGACTGCTCGACTACGAGATCCCC